ATCAAAGAAATTTCGAAATGTTTATGAAAATGACGCCATTTTTTCCTTCTACGTTTCACACATTTATTTACAGTGAAGATAGACATTCTTTGAATTCTTTGAATTACACAACAAAATAACCGCGACAATTAACATAACCTTTACGACTTGCGGTGACAGCTTGGCGATGCATAAATCCAGGAAAAAGAAAAGGGAAAAGGAAGTGAAAGAAAGAATGAATAATTATATATTTTACTCATGACAAGAATAATCAATAACTCATGGAGATGAGCCGACTTCTGGAAATCGAACTAAATGAATTTATTTTAACGGCATATTTCCCTCTTAGATCTGATCGACCGAAAAAAAATATATACAATTTGATTATGCATTTTCCTGTAAGCACTTAGATAACAACAAAAAGTTTTATGTTTATTTAAATATTTTAGAAACCTGGAAATTCTATTTATATTCCTCCGACTCTTGTCTTGATCTGTTGCATACTTTGTTGATATCTTGTTCGTTAAGAAAGATTTTGTTACATATCTGTATAGTTTTGTGCATCATGTATATATCAAATTACTTCCATATGTAATTAGATAAGTATTACTCCAGACATAATAAACAATATACAAAAGCATTCTGTTAGTGGTGATAATCGCCTACATAATTATACACATATTTATTTGCACCTTATAGCATGTTTCTGTTTCTTTGCTCCATTAAAAGATCCGATATTCATAGTGTGTTTTTTCCTCCAAACCGTGTGTTAAGGGAAAAAAATGTTGCTTATAAAACAATTTAATGAACATCAATATCTACATCAATATAAACATCAACATGAACATGAACAGCAACAGGAGAATCATTATGAATATTGGGAAAATCAACACTATTGTACAGTTTTGCCCGCACTTATACCTGGTACAGTGACGGGCTAAAGTCATGTCATGAACTGAAGCTTCGAATCCGTCACACACACACACACACACACACACACACACACACACACACACACACACACACACACACACACACACACACAGTCACACACACACACACACACCACACACACACACACACACACACACACACACACACACACACACACACACACACACACACACACACACACACACACACACACAAATAGTGTTGTTAAGCGGATGGGGTTTTGACCGTGGCTGATCACCCCGTTTTCGGATGGGACAGCAGGAGCGGCACTTCGGTGTTTGATTACATTCTCGATTTTAATTTTATTCATAAATAATGTAGTGTATGTATGTATACACATTATATTGATGCGTAAAGACACCAGTATTATAATCATCCTCGTCATCATCACCATCACCATCATCATCATCATCATCATCATCATCATCATCATCATCATCATCATCATCATCATCATCATCATCATCATTCATCATCATCATCATCATTCAATCATCATCATCCATCCTCCATCCTCCATCCTCCATCATTCTTACTGTCATCATTATTATCATTACTAAACTATTCAGTTGACTGGCAATTTCTCTTCTGTTAAAGAGAATGATCAATGTCTTAGTCGTGTTTGGGGAATGACAGAAAAACAATTATGATGATTTAAAAAAGGGTCATTTTACAATGTAGTGATTAGGTAAGACCAGTCACATTACAAGTCATTCTTTACAAGTATTGGTGTTAGGTACAGTCACGTACAAAAATTGCCTCGTGAGTGAAGCTTCGAAATCTTGAATCTAAATAACAAATTACTTTGAGTGTTCGAGACGGAATTCGAAACATGTTTGATACGTGTTCTGACCCGTGACTACAGCAGGGTGGCGCTGGAAGTAGATTTCCAACCCAGAGTGCGAATAAGGGGGCAGTTGGTAATGGTGAGGAGGAGGTGGTGAGAAGTAGGTATTGAATCGGGTCAGGGAAGTTAATTATGATAATGAACCGGGACGCTATGACTGGAGTGGGAGAGAGAGAGAGAGAGAGAGAGTGTCAGGGGGAGAACCGTGGTGTTCGAAGGTGAATACACAATGAAGCAGTCTGAGACGACGCTGACGAGGGGTATGTGAGAGCGAGGACGCCGTCACCCGACGGAGACAGCCGAAGGGAAGGTGTTGGAGCCGGGATCAGGAGGCCAGGGGTGGTGATCATGTGACAGGTGGCGTCTGTGGGCGCTAGTGGGCGTCAGGGGGCGCTGGGGGACGAACAACCATGGCTAACACTGGGCCTCCTTCCTGCAGATGGGCGCGCTGGGGACCCCGAGCAACTGTCAAGGCAAAAGCACGACCTGCAACATCTGCGGCCACGCGTTCAAATGGCCTTACCTGCTGGTGCGCCATCAGCGGACGCACACCGGGGAGAAGCCCTTCCTGTGCCCCCACTGCCCCTACCGCGGCACCCGGCGCGAGTACCTCAACCGACACATCCTCACGGACCACCCAGGGTTCCCGACGCAGCACCTGCCCCAGTGCTGAGGGGCGCGGGCGGACGAGCGGGGCAGGTGAGCTCTTATTTTTTTTTTTCCAGTGAAGAGAGGGTTGAAAGGGAAGGAGGGAAAGGAGGGAAAGAGGAAGGGGGAAGGGAGGAGGAGGGAAGGGAAAAGGGAGGGAGGGAAAGGAAGGGAGGAAGGGAGAAGGAAAGGGGAGGAAGGGAAAGGAGAGAGGAAGGGAAAGGAGGGAAAGGAGGAGGAAGGGGAAAAGAGAGAAAAAGGAAAGGAGGGAGGGAAGGAAGGGAAAGGGGAAAAAGAGTGAAAGGGGGAATGGTATTTGAGTAAATTTCTTTTCCTTGAGATCGAGGAAGTGGTCTCAAAGACGGCCGTTTTTGGAGAAGGACGAAAGACATGATACAGTGGGAGAAAAACCCACTTTGCTTAGGGTAGGTATTTCAAAGCACGTTTTATGTTTTTTTTTATCTTATTTATTTATTATCTTTTATTAAAAAAAAAAAATATCAAAGGTGTCTTTGCTATAGTGCACTTTAGGGATAATTTTGTTGCTGCAGTGTTATAGTGGAAGGCCAAGATGAGTGAGTGACTGACTGAGTGAGTGTGTGAGTGAGTGAGTGACTCATGAGAATATAATTTAGATACATATAGAGGTGATAGAAAAGGATAGGAAGAGGGAGAAGAGAGAGAAGAGAGAGAAGAGAGAGAGAGAGAGAGAAAGAGAGAGATAGAGAGAGAGAGAGATCAGAGAGAGAAGAAGAGAGACAGAGAGAGAGAGAGAGAGAGAAAGAAAAAAAGGGAGGGGAAAAAGTTAACATAGAAAAAAGAAAAGAAACTGAAAAAAAATGAGAAGAACCATTCGTTATTTGAAATTTTCTTTCTGTACGTGAATGGGCTTTGCAAATATGCATTAAGATTTAGTTAACAGAAAACTTTTACCACTAGGGAATGCTGTATTTATAGTTTCACGGAAAGATTAAGCATACCTACCTACCTGCCTACCTACTTACCTACCTACTTACCTACCTACTTAACTACCTACCTACCTACCTACCCTTACCTACCTACCTACCTACCTACATGTTTTCATACACATACATTCATAATTATACATACATACATACATACATACATACATACATACATACATACATACATACATACATACATACATACATCATACACATTCACACATACAAGCATATGCATATACATACACATACATTCATAATATACATACATACATTCACATACACACACATACATTACATACATACATACATACATACATACATACATACATACATACATACATACATACATATATACATACACATACATACATACATACATACATACATACATACATACATACATACATACATACATACATACATACTCGTACATTCACACATACAAGCATATGCATAGACAGGGAAAGAAAAAGAAAAAAATGAATTGAGGATACGTTATTAACGTTAAATGAAGCAATACTGTAAGTTTTGATGCAAAACTATATTAAGAGTAATAAAAAGAAACAATTGTTTATCGGTCAGTCCTTTTGTCACATCGTAGAATCTCCTGTAAACGTTGTCATATCCTTGTCCTGTGGGTTTTGTGTCTGTCTTCGTGTCCTTAGAGACGATGTCTGTTTATGGCAACGTCGTGTGTGTCTGTGGCATTGTTGTGTTTCTGTGGGTGTAACTGTAAGGGTGAACGTTCGCTGTATAGATCTGGAAACGTTTCCGTCTGTTTTGTTTATTTTTTATTTTTTAGAAACGTTTACTCTGTGTGTGTGTGGGAACGTCGTCTCAGGAAAAGTTTTGTCTCTGTGTGGGAACGTTGTCATTGGAAACGTTTTGTCTCTGTGTGGGAACGTTGTCATTGCAAACGTTTTGTCTGTATGTAGGAACGTTATCCCTGTCTCGTGCTGTTGTTGATGCTGATGACGCTGCCCTTCCTGACCCTCAGCTGACCCTCCGGTGTTCCTCCCCCGCAGGACCGTCTGGCCGCGCCCGCCGCAGCCGCAACCGCCGCCCCGCCGCAGCCTCCCCCCTACCCGCCGGGCGTCCCAGCAGGACCCCCTCACCCCGGCAAGCAGGGCGAGGACCAAGCCTACTCCTCCAGGATGTCGCTCCCCGCCTCGCTCCCCGCCTCTTCCCTCAAGCAGGGGGAGAACGACATCGTCTGCGGCGTCTGCGGGAAGCGCTTCAGCTTCCCTTCCCTGCTGAAGCGCCACATGAGGATCCACACGGGGGAGCGGCCCTTCCCCTGCCCCTACTGCAGCCACCGCGCCAACCAAAAGTCCAACCTCATCATGCACATCAGGAGCAACCACGGATACAACATGGGCTCTCCGCCGCTGTAGGATGGAACGAGGGGAGGGGGAGAAGGGGAAGAGAAGAAGAAGAGAAGGGATGAGGGGGAGGAGAAGAGGGGGGATAGATGGAGAAGAAGAAGGAAGGGATGAGGGAAGACGAACAAGAGGGGGATGAGGAGGAGCAAGAAGAGATCAAGATGAATTAAAAAGTGAATAGTTGGATAGCTAGAAAGAGAAAGAGAAAAATAGAAAGAGAAAGAGAAAGAGAGAGAATTTAAAAGAAGCGGAAGAGGGGAAGAAGTAAAGTGAGAAAAAATAAAACTGCAAAAAGAATATAAGAAAAGATGGACCCACTGTGCTGTACAATTACTTCGTGTCTGTGGCATAGAAAAGAACTCCGCGGGAAATAGACGAGGAAATACTTTAAAAATCCAAATAATGGACTAAAAAGGAAATTTCTAAAACACATATAAGAGAATGAGGGAGTGAGGGAGTGAGAGAGTGTGGGTGTGAGGGAGTGAGGAAGTGTGAGAGTGAGGGAGTGTGAGTGTGAGAGTGTGAGAGAGCGAGAGAGCGAGAGAGTGAGAGATAGAGAGAGAAAGAGAAAAGAAAGAGAAAGAGAAAAAAGAAAAAGAGAGAAAAATAGAGAGAAAGAGAGAAAAAGAGAAAGAGAGAAAGAAAGAGAAAGAGAGAAAAAGAAGAGAAAAGAGAAAGAGAGAGAAAACAGATTACATAACTCGCCATTTCCTTTGCATTTCGGAATTGTAAGCATGTTATTAAACAAACAAGAAAGAAACAAACATTTCTATGATGGTAATGAGAACGTTTGATTTTCTGTTCATGTGCGAAGTCAGCGCTGAACTCCAGTGTGAATTAGTAAAATAAATGAATAAATAAGCAAACAAATAAATAAACCAAAAGATGAATTTATAAAAATAGAGAAGACGAGATATTGTTTATATTGTTTGGTACAAATATGCTTAGATTTAGTAACCTTATTAATGAATTATAACGATGTTTAAAAAAAAAAGATGTTCATAAATAATTTTAGAGATGCAAATTATGTTACATTTAATGGCAGTTCACCCTTACGACCAAGAGACCGTCACAACACGTTTGTTAGAAACACATTTCAAATTCAAATTCATGTTTTAACGGTTTCTTGTCAGCTGTTAAAAGTTTCCTCGAACGACAGCGCTATGTTGCAGGGCAGAACGCAAATGAAGTAACAGCGTTATACACGCACACGCGAGTATGCGCACACATACATACACAAACACACAGACAGACACAAACACGCACAGACACAGACACAGACGCAGGCACACAGACACAGACACACAGACATAGGCACAGAGATCAGAGATATAGGCGCGCGCGCGCACACACACACACACACACACACACACACACACACACACACACACACACACACACACACACACACACACACACACACACACACACACACACACACACACACACACACACACACACACACACACACAGCACACACACACACACACACACACCAGTTTGCGTGCACATATACCATCATTATTCAGGTTTTATGATTTGATGAATTTCTGATTTGATTGTGTACAATATTGCGAATTCACTCTCGACCACATAGGAAGAAAGAGGAAGAGGAGGGAAGGAGGAGGGAAAGAAGGGGAAAAGAGGGAGGGAGGAAAGAGAGATGGAAGAAGGAATTAGGGAGGAAAAGGAGAAGACAGGATGAAGGATGGAAGGAAGGAATTAGGAAGAAAAGAAGGAAGGGAGGAAGGAAGGAAAACGGTAGAAAGGAAGGAAGATAAAAGGACAGAGGAAGGGAAGGAGGAAGGGATCAAAAAGAAGCATGGAAGGAGTAGAGGAAGGAATGGCGAAAGGAAAGAAGGAATGACAGTAGGAAGGAAGGAAGGAAGGAGGGAAAAGCGAGGGGAGGAAGGTAGATAGATAGGTAGGAAAAAAAGAAAGAAGGAGGATAGGCAGAAAGGAAGAACGGAAGGAAGGAAAGAATGGAGGGAGGGAGGGAAGGAAAAGAAAGAGGGCAGTAAGGAAGAAAGGAAGAAAGGAAGTGTGGTAAGGAAGGACGTTAATCTCCTCTTCCCCCTAGACCTGTTTTCCTCCTCTGGCCCCTCTCCTAGTTCTTTCGTCTCCCCAATTTTCTGTTTCTTCTTTTTTTCTTCCTTTAATTTACTTCGTCATCGTCATTTTTTCCTAGTTTACTACTTTTATCTTCTAATTTTATTTTTCTTTGTCATCTACCTTTTCCTTCTACCCCCTTCCCCTCCTCCTCCTCCCTCTCCTCCTACTCCTCCCTCTCCTCCTCCTCCTAGTTCCTCCTCCTCCTCCTCCTCCGTCGGAGAACCACAAAGGAATCACAACCGTTGTTAAACCTAAAATCATAAGTCTGTCACATCTATACTGCTTTTTTGTCCTATTACATTATCCTAAGATACAGAAACATATCACTATAATGAAATAAGTCATCACCACCATCATCACCGCCACCAACTGTCATTATCATTATCATTATCATCACCATTATCACCATCAGAAAAAGAAATTGATTTTCCTTGTTCTTCACGGGTATAATAAAATATCAGGTATAGAGTCCCTGTTAAATTCGCGTCGTTGGAAGCGAATTTTTAAAACCATTTATTTTCATCTTCGTGGCCGTTATGTAAATGGTTTTGTATTTGCCTTTTGGTCCGCCAACTGTAATGGATAAAGTAGGGGAATAAACGTATGCAAATATTGCCTAATGATTGTGGGAGACAGATGTGTTTGTTCTCGTCCTGTAAATAGTGAAAAAAGTGGATTTTATGTAAAGCTGAAATAGTAAAAAGTGGATTTTGATGTCTGTGTTTATGTGTATAGGAATCCTTGGTGGAAAATATTTATTGTGGAGATCACGCACACGCACGCACACGCACACGCACACGCACACGATCGATGTTCAGAGATACAGATTTACAACGGGACAAGCAACTCCACTCACTCACCCACTCACTCTCACTCACATCCACTCTCTCACCACACAGCACTCTCTCTCTCACACACACACACACCACACACACACACACACACACACACACACACACACACACACACACAACCACACACACACACACACACACACACACACACACACACGCACATGCAATAATATTTTATCTGATGGTTCCCGGGATTATTAGGAGAGGCCTGAGTGTAGTAAAGTTGTGGAAATAGATAGATTAATAAGTAGATAAATGCTACACGGAAGGATCGATATAGTGAATGAAAAATGAACAGGAGTAAATATGTAGTAACACTTAATACAAAATAAATCAACGGTCATTTGCAAGGGTATTTGTTATATTCTTTTGTTTAAAAGATGCAACAGCAACAACAACAACAAAAACTGAGAATATGTAATAATACAAATAATGAGATGAATTTTATCCTCTGAAACAAAAATCCATTTTCTTTGAATCCTTATATTTGAACCGTTTTCTGTGAGAGTAACATGAAGGGGATACTTGTTAAAATAAGATAACGAATAATGATTTTATAAGTTGATGAAAAATAATGTATGTATAAGGATGATGACGGTGATGATAATGATAACAATGATATTAAGAGTTATAGTAATGTTAAGAACACTGATTATAACAGATAATTATGACGATAAGAATAATGATAATAATAATGATAATAACTATTATAATAATAAGCATTATGATGATAATGCTAAAAATGACAATGGTAATGGTAATGATATTGATGATAATGGTAATAATGATTAATTGTAATAACGATGATCATGTTAATAATGATGATAATTATGATGTGAATGATATTAGTAATATAAATCATAATAATATTAGTAATAATGATGAATATTAATGAGGGTGATGATAATGCTGTAATGACAGAAGTAATGGTAATATTTTTGTTAAAAGCAAAAGTGATGATAAGGCGTATATAATGATAACTGCAATTAATGACACAAATAATGATGATAATAATAATGATAAATGAAGATGGTAATGATAATAGACAATAATAATTGTGAGAAATTATAATTTTGATACTAATAAAGAGGACAATGATAATGAATCAGTATTTTTAAGTAACATTAAGGATGTTATCACAGATATATACATACATTAAAATTGACGTATATTATGGGTGCCTTTCCCACTAAAACCGCAAAACAAAAGAAAAAAAAAATAAAAAGAAAGAAAAAAATAGATAAAATAATAAATAATAATGGCTAACAAAAGAACGAAATCTCACCTTTCTCTCTCTCCCCCAGGTCGTGGCAGCAGGTGCCACCCCAGTGCCACCCGGCGGCGAGCCCCTCTACGCGTGCCAGGTGTGCGGCAAGAAGTTCCCCTTCCCTTCGCACCTGACGCGGCACCTCCGGACGCACACGGGCGAGCGGCCCTACGCCTGCCCGCTCTGCCCCCACCGCTTCGTGCAGAAGGTCCACCTCAAGAGCCACTATCGCTCGCATCATGTCGGCGGTCGGAGGCCTCCGGGGGGGCAGGGGGCAGGAGGGCAGGGGTATGAGTGGGCAAGGGGTAGGAGGGCAGGGGGGTATGAGTGGGCAAGGGGGTAGGAGGGCAGGGGGGTATGAGTGGGCAAGGGTAGGAGGGCAGGGGGTATGAGTGGGCAAGGGGTAGGAGGGAGGGGGTACAAGGGGTTAGGAGGCAGGGGGGTATGAGTGGGCAAGGGGTAGGGGGCAGGGGGGTATGGAGGGGCAAGGGGTGGAGGGGGGGGCTTGGGGGGCAAAAAAGGGGTATGCAGGGATGACACACAAAAATATACATATATATGAAGAGAGAGATAAATGAATAAAATCAAATCTAAAGAATCGCGATGGAAAGTTTAAGAGAGGTCGATTTTTTCTTTGAGGGCCAAAAAATTAAGAGGAATCGAAAACCACAAAGCCATTTCTTAACAGATTAAAAGGAGAGTCAATCCCATGATCTCAGATTCCCCTTCAGACAGACGATATAGATCTGCAGCCATTCCAGGTAGGTTTAAGAAAGACTGTAGGTAAAAGATTATTATTATTTTTTGTGTACGTGTTCATCTAGGATAAAAGTCTCGAGATGAAGGAATTACATGTACGTGTCTATTGTGATATGACTAGTATTTATTAATCAGAATAAATATTTTAAAACTACTGTTAGTTTTTTTTCCATTCCTTATTGGTAAATGTAAATGTTATATTTATGTTAAGAAAAGCAGGTAGGCCTCACGTGTTGGAAAAAAATAAGACTACTGAATACTTTATTGTAAGTGAAATAAGAGGGTGATTTTACTGTTTTATTTAATTCTGTAAAATTATTTTTCACTCTACAAAAAATCTGGAACACGGCGGCCCACACACGCTACACACACACACACACACACACACAACACACATGTGGAACACACACACACACACACACACACACACACACACACACACACACACACACCACACACACACACACACACACACACACAACACACACAACACATCGATCGAGCAAATTGCAAAAAGAAATCAGACGCGCGGCCAACCCCCCTCAGAACGAGCGGTAACTTGATCTGACAGGGAATAAAAGTTGGGGAATGAGCGCCGTTTTGCATCATTAGTCAAAACTTGTTGCAGGGACTTCAGTCGACTTATTAAAGCGGTCTGATGAAAAGGGAGGAAAGTTAATGATTTATATTTCCATTGTCTGTATTTTTTAGGGGGGAGAGAGGGGGTTAGTTGACGTTAATTAATGTGTATTTTTGTATGTATTGCTAGATTCACTGAATCATTATTCACTTGATAGTTTCAATAATTTTGGTTTTTATTCATTTCATATTTTCGTAGATCTATACTTCGGTATGGTAAATCGAACAGAAAATTGTTCCTTCTAAATACTTTCATATTCCATATTCACAACCTGATTACTTTTTTTGGAATGTAAAACACATACAAACAGCAATTCAAAAACAAACGAATAGATGGACTATAATCAATGTACTCAACGAAATAAGATATAAAGTTACATCATAGAATATTCTAATGTGAATTCGGTCCAATGTACTCAGTGAAGTAAAATATAAAGTTATATCAAGCGAGTATTCTAGTGTGAATTGGGTCCAATGTATTCAGTAAATTTGAATATAGTGTTTTATCGAGCGAATATTGTGTTGTGGATTGGGTCTTATGTACTCGGAGAAATAAGATAAAAAGTTCTATCGTGCCAATATTCTGGTGTGAATTGGGTTCAATGTACTCAGTAAAATAATATATAATGTTACATCGAGCAAATATTCTTGTATAAATTGAATCTAATGTACTCAGTAAAATAAGATATAAAGTTTTATCGTACGAATATTCTAGTGTGAATTGAGTCATTGAGTTTCAGAGCAAGAACTTACGTGTAATTTCGTGTCTTGGGGATTCGTTGTTTTGGAAGTATGGATACAGATAAAACTAAAGTGCTTATTTGTCTGTCTCTTTGTCTGTTTATTTGTCTATATATGTAGCTATATGTGTATGTATGTATGGATCTGTCATACTCTATTTCTATCTCCAATTATATTATTATCTATATATCTTATATCTATGTAGCGAGAGAGAAACAAAAGAAAAAGAGACAGAGAAAGAAAACCAGAAAGACAAAGACAAAGACAAAGAGAGAAATAGAAAGAGACAGAGAAAGAGCGATTTATTCATAAAATGTCTACATAATAATTTTATATGATAAACTGACAGATTTTAAAAATATCGTTACATACGCACACATGCACACACACACACACACACACACAGACACACAAACACACACAAACACACAAACACACACACACACACACACACACACACACACACACACACACACACACACACACATATACATATATATATATATATATATATATATATATATATATATATATGTATGTTTGAATATATATGCCACTTTTGCTCCTACATACACTTTTTTCAGAATCCAAATGGCGTCTTGAAGAAGGCACGAGAAAGCTCACTCCAAAGAAGAAGAAGAAGAAGAAGAAGAAGAAGAAGAAGAAGAAGAAGAAGAAGAAACAGGAGAAAGAAAATAGTTTGTTATCTAATGTGTCTGCTGTAATTAACACTGTATAAGAGGAATATATATATATATTTTTTTTTCTTGAATGCATCCGTAAGTTCATTTAGTATTTCTCCTTTGATTAATATATGTTAACCCGGAATATGCTAATTTAATTATTTCTAATTTCCTCGGCTTATGATTCACAGTTGAATAGCATAATTAACTTTCCCGCGCAGTTTGAATAGATGGATCAACACAGCTGATAATGTTGATAGATCTTTCTTTTTTTTCTCCTATCCTCCTCCTCCCTCATTCTCTCCTTTCTTCTCCCTTTCTTTACAACTTTTCGTCTTCCCTTGTCTCCCTTCCTCTTTGTAATCGCCTCTTTACCCTCCTCCTTCTTCTCCTATCCTCTCCATCTCCAGTCATTTGCATCTCCTTCCTCTCTCCATTCTTGTCTTTTGCTCTCTCTCTCTCTCTCTCTCTCTCTCGTCTCCTCTCTCTCTCTCTCTCTCTCTCTCTCTCTCTCTCTCTCTCTCTCTCTCTCTCTCTCTCTTTCTACTCTCATCCCCTTCTTAACTTCTTCCCCTTTCTTTATTTTCCTTTCACCTTCCTCCCCCTTTCCACTCCCAATCATCTCCCCCTTCTTCCCTTCTTCCCCTTTTCCATCATCTCCTTGCATCTCCTTCCTCTCGACCTCTCAACTCCTTCCCTCCTCCCCTTCTCCTCTCCTCCCTCTCCATCTCCCTTCCTCTCTACCCCCCCCTTCTTTCTCCTGTCTCTCCATCTCCCTCTCCCCTACTAACTCCCTCCCTTCTTTCCTCTTTCTCCACCTCCCTTTCTTCTCCCTTCTCCTCTCTCTCTCCTTCTTCCTCTCCTCTCTCTCCACTCCCCTCATCTCTTCTTCTCTCTTCTCTCTCCATCTCCCTTTCCTCTCTTTCCATTTTCCTCTCCCTCTCTCCACCTCTCATTTCCCTCTCCTCTCTCCTCTCTCTCCACCTCCCTCTCCTCTCTCCTCTCTCTCCACCTCCCTCTCCTCTCTTCTTCTCTCACTCTCTCTCCTCTCCTCTCTCCTCTCTCCTCTCTCTCCACCTCCCTCTTCTCTCTCCTTCTTTCTCCAACTTCTTTCCCTCTCTCCTCTCTCTCCACCTCCCTCTCTCTCCTTCTCTCTCCACCTCTCTTCCCTCTCTCCTCTCCTCTCTCCCACCTCCCTCTCTCTCTCCAACTTCTTTCCCTCTCTCCTCTCTCTCATCTCTCTCCACCTCCTCTCTCTCCTTCTCTCCACCTCCCTTCCCTCTCTCCCTCTCCTCTCTCTCCTCCACCCTCTTCTCTCTCCAACTCTTTTCCCTCTCTCTCTCTCCACCTCCCTCTCCTCTCTTCTTCTCTCCTCTCTCTCCACCTCCCTCTCTCTCTCTCTCCTCTCCTCCTCCTCCTCTCTCTCCTTCTTTCTCCCCTCCCTCCTCTCTTCCTCTCCTCTCTCTCCACCTCCTTCTCCTCTCCCCTTCTCTCCACCTCCCTCTCCTCTCTCCTTTTCTCTCCGACTCCTTTCCATCTCCTTCTCTCCTCTCTCTCCCCTCCTCTCTCTCTTCTCTCTCCTCTCTCTCTTCTCTCTCTCCTTCTCTCTCCACCTCCCTTCCCTCTCTCCTCTCCTCTCTCTCCACCTCCTCTCCTTCTCTCTCCTCCTCCGTCCCTCTCTCTCCTCTACCTCCCTCCCTCTCTCTCCTCTCTCTCTCTCCACCTCTCTCTTCTCTCTCTCTCTCCACCTCCTTCCTCTCTCCTCTCTCTTCCCTCCCTCTCCTCTCTCTCCACACTCTCTCCATCCCTCTCCTCTCTCCTCTCCACCTCCGCCCTCTCCCCTCTCCTCCTCTTCGCTCTCTCTTCCCTTCTCTCTCTCTCCACCTCCTCTCCCCTCTCCTTCTCTCCTCTCTCTCTAGCTCCCTCTCCTCCTCTCCTCCTCTCCGCTCTCTCCTCTCTCCTTCTCTCCACCTCCTTCCCTATCTCCTCTCTCTCCACCTCCTTTCCTATCTCCTTTTCTCTCACCTCCACTCCTCCCTTTGACCTCCCTCTCCTCTTCCTCTCTCTCGACCTCCCTCTCTCTCTCTCCGCTCTTCCTTCTCTCCTCTCCACAGCAACCATCTTTAACGACCTTTCTCTCCTCTCTCTCTCTCTCTCCACCTCCCCTCCTCTCTCTCTCTCCTTCTCTCCTCCACAGCACTTGTCGAGACGAGACTCCCCATCCAGCTCAGGGAATAAGAGCGTCCATTTTACTTGCAACGACGAGGAGGATTCTGCCTGATTTACTTTACGTCTGTTTTTTATTTGAGAATTTTGAGTCAGATTAACGCATTTTAACGGTTTGAGGATGTTAATTACGGTTGTACGGGATTTCGAAAATAATGACGAGTGGTCAGTGATTACGTAAGAAAGGTAATCAGCGGTATTAATGATTGAAAATTGATGTTTAAGTTTAGGCTTGTTGTCCCCCTAATGGAATCTTTCACTTATGGTGTAGCTTTATACGATGCGTTGAATTAGAAGTAAAGTTAAAAAGAAAAAAATAACAGCTGATGTATCATAATTTAACTTAATTTACCATAATGTATAAAGTCGGTTTAGTTTGTGAGAATAAAGAATAAGGCTTTTGTTTTGTAAGATTATTAAATGTGTTAATATATATGGAACTGCAAATTCTATACTATAATTTGCATCTACATTTGCATAATAACTGATCTGTTTTCATTTCCATCTAATTTCTTCGATCTATTAATCTGCATTTAGTAGCTATTCATTTGCATCAATTCAATAATGAAATTGCTGTAATTTACATCTTAATTCGAGAAGCCAACCTTGCAACTTCTGCATCAAAGGCGAACCTTTCCCGACGCCAAAAAACAACAAAAACAAAAACAAGAACATGGCGAAACAGAAGAGGTAAAAAAGTTACGTAAAAAAATCTCATACTTCTTATTCTTATTCGAATTCGTATTATTATCTATAAAACATCCGTACGCACGCACACACGCACGCACGCACGCACTCACTCACTCACTCACTCACTCACTTCACTCACTCACTCACTCACGCACTCACTCACTCACTCTCACTCACTCACTCACTCTCACTCACTCACTCACTCACATCACTCACACTCACTCACTCACTCACTCACTCACTCACTCACTCACTCACTCACTCACTCACTCACGCTCACTCACTCACTCACTCACTCACTCACACACTCACTCACTCACTCACACACTCAGTCACTCACATACAACTCCTAGGTAACCATTTCATTATCTTTCTATCTAGATCAGTAATTTCTGTTTCCGGTTAATATGATATAAACAGTAATATTCTCAGTATTAATCACATTCAATTAAATCAACATTAATGCTGATATGAAATGGCGATCCAACACAAATACTTATCTCCATCATTATAAATTGATCAAATCAAATCTGTGCCGCGACAGAATCCCTTCTCTCTCTCTTCTGTCTGTCTGTCTGTCTGTCGTCTGTCTGTCTGTCTCTCTCTTTGTCTCTCCTCCTCCTCTCCTCTCTCTCTCTCTCTTTCTCTCTCTCTCTCTCTCTCTCTCTCTTCTCTCTCTCTCATTCTCGATCTCTCTCAGCCTATATTATCTATGTATGATATGATATTTGTGTTATGTGTAATTTTGTTTCAGAAGGATTGTATGATATGTTCATAACATCTTATTACATTGTGGAAACACTTTATAAGTAAATAGAATACCCGTTGTAATTAATGGAATAAAGTGTTTGAATTTGATAATTTCTCTCTCTCTCTCTCTCTCTCTCTCTCTCTCTCTCTTCTCTCTCTCTCTCTCTCTCTCTCTCTCTCTCTCTCTCTCTCTCTCTCTCTCTCTCTTCTCTCTCTGCTCTCTCTCTCTCTCTTCTCTCTCTCCCTCTCTCTGTGTGTGCGTGCGTGTGTGTGTATATATATATATATATATATATATATATATATATATATATATATATATATATATATATATATATATATATATATATGTGTGTGTGTGTGTGTGTGTGTGTGTGTGTGTGTGTGTGTGTGTGTG